ACCTGCCACCGTGGCCAGTGACCCCTCAGCAGGGCTCCAGGCCCTGACCAGCAGCGTGTGCAGCCGTGTGACAGGCATTTGGTGTGTGTGTGTGTGTGTGTGTGTGAGGCCACGGGATCGCCGCATTGCAGCCCTTTATGTAAGAGCAGGGCCGCCTCTGGACCCTGCCTCCTACACACCCATGTCTGCAGGGGGCAGGGACTCTCACCAGCTCACCTCGCAGGGCACACTCATTGCACACTCACACCACCTGCCCCCATGCCACACCGCAGACACACACACGCATGCGCCACACACTGCTTGGCACACCCAGGGCACAGGCAAACATCTGCTCACACACATGCCAGGCTCCGGGACCCCTCCACATGTCCGTTTAACACAGGCGTTGGGGTACAGTGTGCACACGCATCCCTGGCAAACGCTCCCAAACACCCTCATGTCACGCACACACACGCCAACGCCAACACTGACCGGGCACCTCTGGTACAATGGGGGGGGGGAGGGAGGAGGGAGGGCCAGGGACGGGAGACCAGCCCCAGCAGCTCACCTGCCCAGGCCGGGCCAGAGCTGTGCTAGAAACCTCCCTCCCTCCCTCATGGCCACTCCCATGCCCGCCCGGGGGCGCTCCTTCCGTCACTCGCTCTGTGCAGGAGGGGGGGGAGCAGTCAGGGGTCCAGGTGGGGCCCTTTCTGGGGGTCACCCCTGCAGCTCACAATTTTGCTGCCTGGGCACCGTCTCCCCAGAGAACAGCCAGCCCCACGCGCCCAGGTGACAGCAATCGCTGTCCCTCGCTGAGCACGCCCCGTGGGCCAGGTGAGCCCACGGCCGCCGCTGCCTGCATGGGGGCCAGTGCACACCACCCTTCCGCTCGCAGAAGCAGGGCCTGTGCGGCTCAGAGAGGGGAGGGCAGAGCTGGGACAGGCACGGGCCCTTCTCGTATTTATTTGTTTCCGTTTCAGAGAGGAAAGGAGAGAGAGAGAAAAACATCAGTGATGAGAGAGACTCATCCATCGGCTGCCTCCTGCACGCCCCCAGTGGGGATCGAGCCCACGACCCAGACCTGTGCCCCGACCAGCAATCGAACCTCGACCTCTTGGTTCATAGGTCGACGCTCAACCCCTGAGCCACGCCGGCCGGGCGACACGGGTCCTTCTCATGTGAGGACAGCGTGGAGCCGCCCAGCTGTCTGCCCCCCTCCCCGACCCCTGAGCCTGGGCACTGGGTCTCGTTCAAACTGAGGGAGCCCAGCTGCCCCTGGAGGCCTCGGGGAGCTCCTCACCCAGCCCCTCGGTGATGCTCGGCCCCTGGAGCGCCAGCGCTGAGCCGGATGAGGGACAGGGTGTGAGGTGCCTGTCCGCCCCGTCCGTCCGGGACCAGCTGCCTCCCAGCACCCTCTGGGGGTGACTTGTACGGCTGGGCGGGGCCTTCGCCCTCCCCCTCAGCACACACTGGAGGCGGCCCCTGCAGTGTGAGGGCGGCCAGAGGCCTGGGGAGGGGGCGGCGTGAGCCAGGGCCTGTCGCCTCCCTGTGTGTCTTCAGCGCCACCCCAGCCTGACTCACC